CTTTCAATTTTCACTGCAATATTCTCTGTAAAAACTTAAACATACAGTAGCAACGAGCGGATAGGGTGGATGAAAACGCTTATTAGACAGGCCCCTATAAATATTCATGGCAGAGATTTAAATGCCAAGCTGTGACCTATACTCCTCAACCTCCTTATCCAACTACCCTTTTATCTCTGTTCTCACTTACTGATTTGATTCAGACCCCTATAAATATCTAGCTTTTTTTTATTAGAGCTTATATATATTAACAATAACTTAGCTAAGTTATTTTTTAATTTTTTTTATGAGAAGGTTGAGATTTGGTTATACGTGTGTTAACTACTAGAAGAGTGATTCGGATTTCTGAGACGTGGTACCCATATGAAGGATTGATATTGGGACTCAAAATTGAAGAAGAAACAAACAAGGAGCTGAGCTGTAGCTATTCAAGTTTTAGGGGGAAGAGAGCTAGCATGGAGGACTTCTATGATGTTCAAATGTCAAAAGTTGGTGGAAAAACAACGTCTGTTTGGGATATTTGATGGTCGTGGTGGTTCTTGGGCTGTTGAGTTTTTGAAGGAACACCTTTTTGAGAATCTAATGAGGCATCCACAATTCAATACTTCTACCAAGTTTGCTATAAGTTAAACATATCAATAGACTGATATGGACTTCTTAAAAGCTGAAAGCAATACTTGCAGGGATGATGGTTCTACAATCTCTGCAACAGTTTTTGTTGGAAACCATTTATATGTTGCAAATGTTGGAGATTTACGAACAGTGGTATCAAAAGTAGGAAAAGCTACAACTCTATTTGAAGATCATAAACCAAATTGTTTTGATGAGTAGAAGAGAATTGAATGTGTTATGTGGGTAAGAACATGGAGAGTTGGAGTGTTGGCAACATCTCGAGCTCTTGATGACTGCTTATTGAAGCATTTTGTAGTGGCATAATCTGAGATTCAGGAACAGGAGATGAATAATAAGTTTGAACAAATAAGGAGCTATTGGTGTAAAATCAAATGGTCGAAATCGCTTAATCAAAATAACTTTTATTTAATGGTAGTGGTTGGCCATATTTTATTGTTTAATTAATGGCGGTGTTTCATCTAAGCCTCCACCTTCCCGATATCAAACTCAAGGAGTATTGCATTAGTTTTCCTGTATAAGCAAAAGAAAAGAAAAAATTCAAAATTTCAATATCGTCTCCACATGGTATTTATCCGTTTGCAAGGAGTTGCTGTTTTTGTTATTCAAATGTTTCATTTTTAAAATTTAAAGAAAGATGATGGTAAAGTAGTCTTTTCCATCTCTCCTAGGAAAAGACGGTCAATTGCTAAAAAACTTAGTGGTAGTTTAATACAATTCTTGAACATTAGAAGTGAATAAGTCACTTTCCTAAAACTTAGGGGTACTTTAAAAAATTTGCCCTTAACTTATATGGATTAGATGCCCAGCTTAGCTTGGATTGAACTGGGTCTAGTGGTATCTTATCAAGCTTGGGCAGCTCAAAATTCTCTTACAACTTTATGAAAATCCAACTGTCGCTTGGCTTGGCCAATGATCATCCATACCCAATGTTCAGAGAACTCGATTGGACCCTCGGCTGGATCGAAAAAAAATTGAACCAGTCCACCAACCCATTTGGTCACACCAAAAAATCGGAGATGATAAAAAATGGCTTATAACTTTGCACTTGATTGTTCCAGTTTCAACCAGAAAATTGGTGAATTAGTCTTAGTTTCATAAGATGGATCGATGTTTTATCATTTTCATTTGACTTTGTATGCAAATTTCTGAAGGCTATAACTTTGCACTTAGTTGCTCGGTTGGCGTGGCAATTTTACACGATATACATGTTCTAAGGTGCCCCCTCTACTTTTCTTTTCCAAAAATGCCTTTTTTGGCCTAAAATCTTATTTTTTTGAATAAAAATTTAAAACCAAGATTTAAAATTTTAACAGGATATACCCCATATCAAACATATCTTATTGTATTGGTGAGTCACCTAGGCAAATACATTGTGTTTGGCCTTTTGACTCATTTTAGGGGGTAGGTAGGCCTAAGACCTACCCTTCTACTCTATTTTTTAAAATAAAACTGAAAAAGAAGGATAAGCATTAGGTACAAAGTACGTGAAAACATCTATTTTGGCGTTTCGGGGTTCATTACTTTGAATCTTGATTAAAATTAGAACAAAGAAAATATCTTGTACCAAAATGTAGTATATTTTTTATATATGTATACAATTATTATGTATATATTATATAATTATACATATTACAATATTAATAATTATGTATACATGCATGATGACATAATATGATCAAGGTTTTTAAAATAGAACGGGAGAATGAATCGGTTAGGGGTCCGATTCCTGGGCCGAATGGTCCGATCGTTTGAATTGAACGGATAGCTTGTTCTGGCAAAAAAAAAAAAAAACGGCCAAAACTATTGGACAGTTCTAACAGTTTAACCACCTAGATCAGCGGTTTGCTGACCAAATCAACGGTTTTGGGGTAAAGCGGATTACGGAACTGATCACCTGACTGATTCTCAATTTTTCTGGTCTAACTGTCTGGTTCGGTCCAGTTTTGAAAACCATGAATATGATAATGCCACGATTTGACCAGGTCCACCAAGCCTGTTTTAGGGTGTATATCTTTGAACCTTGATTAAAATTAGAAGAAAAAAAATATATGTTATTGCAAAATGTAGTTACAGATTTTGTATATATATAATTAATATTGTTATATGTATTATATAATTATACATATTACAATATATACAAATTATATATACATGCACAATGACATAATATGATAATGCCACAGATTGGCCGGGTCGACCAGGCCAATTGAATTGATGAACCATGACCTAGAGGAGAGGAAAAAATGGTTCTACCTCTTTGTCTGGTTTTCTGGAAAATAATTTCACCTACAATAATATAGCAAAATTTTTGGAAAAATCTCACAATTTAAAAATTACAACACCTTCTCTTATGGTGCCTTACTTTATCCCTCCTTGTATTGGCACCAATTCTATAATAAAAATAAGGGAAAATTTCCTATAGGTACCTTGTACTTTAGACTGAGTGCCAATTTAGTACCCGAACTTTAAAACGCAACAATCTAGTATGCGAACTTTCGAAATGTGACAATCTAATACCTGTTGTTAATCAACCATTAAGTGTCAGGGGAAAATACACAAATACCCTTCAAATGTCATTTGATTTTCTTTATCAACCATTTGTTGGTAGATGACCCATGTGTTCCATTACTGGTTGATAAAGCAACAAGTGTGTAAGAAGTGCCCTTCAAGCAACCCCCGGTTTTCCTTTTTCTTTCTTTGCTATTCATCATCGTTTCAGACAAGAAATAGAGGAGTTGTAGTGGTGAAATTCCTTTGTTACTCTCATTCGGCTAACCCCTTTTGGCACAAACCCAATCGATACCCAACCCCATTCTACTCCCCATTGATCCCCCTTAATATTCCACTGTTTTCAAGCTCCTCTCATCCCATCGGCTCCATCCTTTGTAGCTTCAGTATTTGGTCAGGAAAGATCGATGCAGCGACCATACAGATCTCACCGGTTGAAGAAACTCAATCCTGCATCTCATCTTGCTCCCATGAGCCTATAATCTCCTGTAAGGTTATATCTGCTCGGAGGCGAATGACCCAAAGCAAAAACTGGTCGAACCTCCTCTGTTTTTTTTTTCTGTATACATCATCCATGGAGTAGATTTGGTCGCAACAGTTGTTGCTGGAGCTCCCTTTCATAACCAGCTAGCGTAGCTCACACTTAACGTTTCTACCCCTGTTCGAAGACAAATAGAACGCACCAGAAATCCAGTCGGAGCTTTCTCCTTTGATTCTTTCATTTTCTTTCTCCTATTTTTCACTACTATTGGAGCTTGAAGGAGGGAGAGAGAGTCGATAGAGTTGGCGAGGGGATTTCCCCATACCAGCTCCTGTAAGCTCTCGACATTGACTCAGCTCTGTAATAGCCTGTTTCTCATGGTGTGGGTCATTGGTTTAGAGGCCAGATGCCATCCAAGCTGGTTCCACTCAATGTGTATTTCCTCCATGCATAGAGTCCCTTGACCACAAGCATATGTTATCACAACACTCCGAAGCGTCAGATGGTCGGCGATTATCTGTAAGATGGCCGTTTGCAACACATCCATCCATCTTAGGTGCTTGCAACACATCCATCTTGCAGATGGTGAAGGAGCTGATCGTCTGCTTCAAGACTCTAGTCGGAGAGCATAGCAGTTGAAGCTTGAAAGTTTGAAATGAACGAAACTCAGAAATAAAGGCCTTAAGTCACGAACGAAATGGCTGAACGTCTTGGTCTGGAATGTTGAGAGCTAATTAGGTTCCGTTTCAAGAAGATGATGAACAATGTGTTTTTATTTTTAAGGGTAATTTTGACATTTTCAAAAGTCTTAAATCTCACACGAGGTCACATGATATACATAATTGAAGATAGGTACTAGATTGTTGCATTTTGAAAGTTTGCGTTTTAAAATTCAGATACTAAATTGACACTCATTCTGAAGCACAAGGTATCTATCGGAAATTTTCCCTAAAAATAAGGATCTGTGATGTAAAGATAAATGAAGATTTTTTCTTCTATAATTTCATACTTTAGTTCCATTTTTTAGGCATCATATTTAATTCAAATTTTAATTTGTTTTGGAATGTTGACTAATTAAACAAATTGTTTTATTTAACTTCTTTTTTTTGTGTTTTCTTGAACATGGAAAGCATGTCGCGAGAAAAAAAAATCCAATTAGAAAGAGGTAATGGTACAAACTTTTTTCTTTTCTACCGCTTACGTACATCTTGATCCACTCATCTAGAATATTGAGTAGTAGGGCGCCTGTACCACTACAATTGAGATCGACACATTATTCCATGTTTTTGTGGCACTGTGACGTAATGGGGTACAATATAGTCTCGTTTGGTTAGCATTAGCATTGCTCATTTACTCTTCCCAATCCCGATTGACCCGCGGAATTCAGGGAAAACCGGAATAGGCACAGTCGACAAAACAGTAGTTCTATTTCTAATTTTCTATACTTCTATCCAAAGATTTTTCGAATACTCGCCGAGAAAGATTTCTACTGCATTTAACAAAACGGACAATTCTCAGTATAAACTTGATTCCGTTGAGTTCATTTCATTGTGTATTTCGGCTCTTGCTTCGGTTTCTGCTTGATCCGCTCAGTAGTGAGTAGACCACTTTTCCGTTCTGTTCTTTTTCTTTTATTTTCATGTTTTTTTTTTTTTATCATTTTCACACAATAACAGAACCCACTTCTTTTCTTTGAACCAAATCTTATTCAATATTTAAGTCTGGAATAAGAAGTTCAGTATCCTTTCAGCCCATTAATCCTTTTAATCCAAAACCACAACTCTTTCGCACAGTAAACTCATATCGCTCAGTTGAACAGATCTTCTTCCAGACCCAGAGTCCCCATTACCATTTCGGGTGCTCGTTACAATGTCTAAAGCAAAACCCCCTTCCAGATTCATATACTTCACCGTCACACTTTTGCTTTTGTTCTGTTGCTTCGTCTCTGCCATGTCTTCTGAGCCCGATGTGGATGATGAAGATGATCTGAAGGCTTACGAGGAACTACTAGCATTGGATGAAGAAGAAGAGCAACAAGGGCCTCAAGTCAAATCGGCTGAGGCTGAGGCTGAGGTTCTGAGCAAGGCCCAGAGAATTGTTATTGAGCTCAACACTGACAACACTAAACGGGTTATAAATGATAACGAGTTCGTTCTGGTTCTGGGTTATGCTCCATGGTGTGTTAGAAGTGCGGATCTGATGCCCCGATTTGCAGAGGCGGCAACTGCTCTTAAGGAGATGGGCAGTCCTCTATTGCTGGCGAAGCTTGATGCGGAACGCTACCCTAAAGCGGCATCATCTCTTGGGATCAAAGGCTTTCCTACCCTGCTTCTCTTTGTCAACGGGACCTCTCAAGCGTATACTGGTGGATTTTCGGCGTAAGATCCCTTCTTTGTCAAATTATACTCATTTTCTAATTGCAGGTGCAGGTTGAAACCGGATTTTATTTGTTGTATGCTCTGATTTTTGACCAGGGAGGACATAATGATCTGGTCAAGGAAAAAAACAGGGTCGCCTACCATTAGACTAGCTTCGGTGGCCGAGGCAGAGGAATTCCTTAAGAAGAATGACATGTTTGTAATTGGTCTTTTTGAGAGATTTGAGGTAATGTGAACTTTGGTTGCTTGTAGAAGTAGGTTCTGTACATAAAAGATTAATTTGACTTTCATACTCATTATCCGTGTTAAAGTTGCGTTTATATAAAGGATTTTGTTTCTGAGAATTACTACTTGTAGTACTCTGACTGTGATATGATAACTTGTTTCTGTTTTTTCTTTGACTTGGTTATGTTTAATTTTGCTGTGGACAATGTGCATTACTCATTGGAGGGACAAGTACTAGCCCATTTTATTCTAGACTTTCACTTCTCCTTCCATGTCTGTCTTCATTAGATTATTGCTGGTAAAATGTCCTTAAAGTGCAAGCAAGTTGACGGGGGCTCGGAGACTGTGGAAGTCTAGAAACAGGGATATAGAACAAGACTCGTTTTGTTAAGCTATCAGAACTGATTTGAAGAATTTCTAGTCAAGTCAATTTACCACCAGAACAGCAAATGAACATTTCTTTTGCATCTTTTTACCAAATTCGACAAAAATATATGTAGTATTGCATGGATGTGAACATGGGATTGGGATCTGATAAAAGTCAGGGAGTCTGACTCTCTACTTATGAGGGAAGATGCTGTTAAGAAGTGGACTATATTGTAATCTTGTACTCTTATAAAAAACATAGATGTATGTAAAGGTTTATCTTTGCTATGCTACCTAGGACTGTTGATAACAAAATACGGAAATCAAAATGCATAGTAGATGTTCATTACAGGCCAAACATGCATTAATCTAAGGAATTGCTAATGGCAGGGTCTCCACAGTTATTAGGGGCTTTTGCTTGTTATTGACAATAATCCTTTTCTTTTTCCTTTTGTTGTCTTGGCCCTTTTTAAGTTTAAAATTTCCCCTCTTTTTGTTGGCCTTCTGGTGTTGTATCCTGCTTTTTTATGGCACATTCTTTGCTTTAACCATACTCATCCTTTTCTCTTCCTCTTCTTCCATCCCTCTCATAACTTCTTGTTATATATAAAATTTAAATAGATAAAACTTGTTTTGTCATGAGAACATGTAACGCAAATGTGTTTCTAAACCACAATATTTTTCTAGAAGTGGAGTCTCTTTTATCACAGTAGGCTTTTCAAAACCTTAAGGGTCAAAGAGATGAATTTGAACGAACAAACATACATCAAATCCACTTAAACAATATATAAAAACAATATCTGGAAAACAAAATATTTATTAATAGTACACCAGTATTGTGTGCCAGATTTTGCATTTATTCAGAAAGCTTAGTTTTTTTTAATCTCTCCGCAAAATAGAGCAAAACAGGATTCATGTAGCCCACCCCATATAGTTGGGATAAGGCATAGAACTAGTGATCTCTTTGCAAAATAGAACTAACTTTTTTTAATCCACCTGATCCTTTAAAGTGGGAAGGGATAGATGTCAAGAATATTTTTAGTTGTCTCCACTCTCCAACCTGAGCATTGCCATCTGACTTTAGAGAAAAGAACAACTACCATAAGGTTTTGGAGGCTGGAAGTTACCCCTTCATGGTATTACAAGTTCCTCCCTGCACCATGATAAGTTTTATGCATATATGCTGTCACCCCACTTAACGAGAATACCTTGCCCTTTGTGTTCAAACTTCCTAAACTGATAAATATTAAATTGTTCCTAGGTAATTTATAGGTTCAGGACCATAGTTTTTGGCTTAAATCATCTGTCCTGAAGACTTTCTTTTTACTCATCTATCTACATAGTATGTGGGGTCAATGCTTGGTGTAATTTTAAAATCTAGGGCTATCAAGAATGAGAATGTGGGTTTGAGTCTGAGCAATTAGTTTGTTGAAAAAAAGACAAAGCCTATGCCTGTATCCAGTCCACCCCTCTCAAGACCTTAGATATCTCGGACCAACATTAGGTAATCACTTTTTATATCTGCGTAGTATGAATATACATGCATACATATAATGCATATATAATATCTCTAACACCTCTTTTTATTTTTGAGCATATTTCATCCCTTAACACCATTTCAAATCCCTTTAGGGGCATCATGCTGTTATAGTCTAACCTGTATTTTCAGTTGAGAGATAAGTTAGGTAAACTAACACTTAGAAGGGGTTGAATATTTCCAGGGACCTTATTATGAAGAATTCGTGAAAGCAGCAACTGCTGACAATGAAATCCAGTTTGTTGAAGCTAGCACTACTGAGGTCGCTAAAGTTCTCTTTCCAGACATTAAGCCTAAAAATCATTTCCTTGGTCTGGTCAAAAGTGAGCCTGAGAAATATTCTTCATTTGGTAAGTTGGTGATTTATAGCAATGGGTTCAGCTATTATCCTACTTTTTCCAGATGAGGCAGGTTAAATCATCGGATAACATTATCAACAAAAAAACCAATTGGTAATATTGTTCGTCTTGTTTCCCAGATGTTGTAGCTAAGTTGGTGATTTACAGGAATTTGCTTAAGTGTTCCTCTGGAATCGTATATTGTGTTAAACTTGTTGTCTGACTTATCATCTTTTATTCATCTCATTATCAGATTGTGTGAATATCTTCTTAGACTTATCTTTATAACTGCATAAGAATACTTGCTTGATTTGCATATATATTATTCTAATTCCTGATAATACTTTAAGATTACTACTGATTAATCATGTTTTGTTTTGACTTTTGTGCAGAGGACAGTTTTGAAAAGGACAAAATATTGCAGTTTTTGGAATATAACAAATTTCCATTAGTTACTATACTGACTGAACATAATTCCATGAAAGTATACTCCAGCCCTATCAAATTCCAGGTTGCCATTACTCTTCTCAAATTTGTACAAATTCTACTTGATTGATTGTTTTAATAAAAGTTAAATTACTCTTCCAAGAAAATTACTCTTCTGAAATCTTGCTTTTGGTTTAACACTAATTTTTGGGGAAGGGGTGTTTTCTGATAGTGTAGGAAGGTTCAGCTAAAAAGCTGCTACTTTTTGGGATTCCTAAGCCAAACTGTGAAATCTGTAAAGTAGTGCAAATTGCAATTCCTTTTTCTACTCTGCATTTCCATTTCTACTGCAGTTCAAACACAAACATAAAGGAAAACTTACCCGAGCTGTCACAACTGGTGGTAATCCAGGCTGGTTGGTTGTTATCTAACAACCCAAAAATGATGAAAAGGAAAATTTTTGCGATAAAATAAATCAAGGCAAACCTGACCCTGGATCTTTGGAGAACCATAAAACTAGTATCCAATATATTTATCCCCATTGGCACCACTTACATGATTCTTCTCATGAGGCATGTTGCAGGTCTTTTATCCCTTGCAGCGGAAAACTCATTTTTTACTTAATCTCAAATTATGGATACTGATTTTGAAATATTTGTACGAGAGAATTCTTTTAATGTGGTCTTTGGATATTTTCTAGGTATTCATCTTTGCTGAGGCTAATTACTTGAAAAACGTTATCCTACCTCTTCAAGATGTTGCAAGAAAGTTTAAATCAAAGGTACTAGTCCTTGGAAAATATTTCATTTGTTTCTCACATTGTGGTAGCCTTTGTTGAAGTTCTAATGTTGTCTTCTGACTGCAGATTTTGTTTGTATATGTTGACATTGCAGAGGATAACCTAGCAAAACCGTTCTTGACATTGTTTGGGCTTGAAGAATCAGACGATACTGTTGTAAGTCTTCATACGAGTGTCTTTATTCTTTTAAATGCAAATTTTAATTGCCAATAACTACCATTGAAGCAGCAGCTAACTGATACAAGCTGTTTCTTATGTCTGTCTGAATAGGTGACTGCTTTTGACAACAGAATTAATTCAAAGTACTTGTTGGAGTCAGATTTGACACCAAAAAGTCTAGAGGTAAAATTATTGCTCCATTTATGAATATATGATCCAAGAAATGTTGAGTAAGGTACTTAAAATGGGTTTTGCGATGTTTGTTGCAGGAATTCTGCTCAGGGCTTCTAAATGGTACTCTGTCACCTTACTTCAAATCAGAACCTATACCAAATAATGTATGTAACTAGTTTATTGCTTTTCTTTATTTTTGGTTGTACCACTGTACTAGTGCCTCTATTCTGTCTTACAGTCCTAGAATCTAGGCTCAGATATCATGTGTTCTCAATTTGCCAATCTAAGAGTGCAGTTGCCTTTATGCATATAGAAATTACAACTCACTTGTGAGGCTTGTTGGGCTAATCAGCCTAGGGTTGGACATGCTCTAGAATACATTTCTTTCTTTTTTTTTTTTTKTTAAATTTGTTTTGGTTGAGAAATATCAATTCAATTGATTAATATCTGATCTAATTTTAGGAACACATTTCTCTTTTAAATTTTGTTTTGGTGGAGAAGTATCAATTCAATTGATTAATTATCTAACCTATTTTTCCATTGCTTTACTCATGCAAAATGTGGAAACTGAAAAGTTCCTTCTTGATTATTTTTGTCTTCTGTTTGATGAAATATTATTGGAGTGCCTGTTTAAACAACAAACCAATAAAAAACAAAGTCCGGTTTAAGTCCCTTATTTTAACCATATAAAATAAACTACAGAACCTTCTTTTATCATCATCATTAAGCTCTTCTTCCTCTTCATTATCTGATTTTCTTCTTAAGATTCTCATAGGTGTTGTCTGAGTTGGTCGCTCTCCATGTGACCAGATTAGATATAATGATCTGACTTCTGACACAATGTCAATTTTAAATATTTTCCTAATGTGAGTGATGAAACAGTTTGGTGCTTGTGCAATTGCAGAAGGGTGCAATTGTTCAGACCATTGTAGGGAGGACGTTTGATGACTTGGTTTTGAGCAGTCCTCGAGATGTTCTTCTAGAGGTTAGTTTGTTACACTGGGAGCATTTTATCAACTTCTCTTTCTATAGATTTTTCTATTTGACTGTTTAAAATATGTTTGAATTATTTTTGTCACATGGAAGGTTCATACACCGTGGTGCCTCAACTGTGAGACTACAAACAAGCAGATTGAAAAGCTGGCTAAGCATTTCAAGAAATTGGATAATCTAATTTTTGCAAAAATAGATGCTTCTTCAAATGAACATCCAAAGTTACAGGTATGTGTTCCAGAGCAAGTATAGAAACATAGCTTAAGATATTAGAGAAGGGAGAAGAAGTTGAAATTTCAGCACGATTATAATAAGAAAATATTATTTATATTCTTATAATATTACTCTTCAGACACTCTTCATGTTAACATAGTAAGGTTTTAGTCTCAAAAAACTGAACAAGAAGTCTTTTTTGCAACAGCAGCATGTTCTTTTATGATCAACTTCTAGTGCCAGGTTTTAAAGTTTGAAACTAAATTGTAGAATCAGGATTGGCACCATGAAGTGATTTGTTAATGGAAAGCCACATGTTTTTGCAAGGAATGAAGACATGTACACAAAAACAAACAGGGCATGTGCTCATATGTTTTGTATGTTACTAGACTTGGGGGAATAATCCTGGTCTTATATAATTCCTATTTAATGAAATATGTTGTTATTGATAAAAAAAATCCTGGTCTTATATAGTATAAATTAAATAATCAATACATTTAATATAGAAGACCAAGCATTGTCCCATTTCAATTTCACAAACCTATTTATCTGGTTATTTTGAATAATCTTTTGATATTCCTGTCTATTTGCCAATCTATTTATCGGGTTGTTTTCAGTAGTGTCTTAAGATTCTTGTGCACTATTAGTTGTCTTGGGTTTTAGAAAATGGTTACTATTTTTATGGAATCTATATAAAATCAGTTTGATCCACTGAGTTCTGTGTACCTGTTTTGAACCTTCTTTTGATCCACTAACTGAAGCCTGTACTTGTTTTGGACCTTTTTCTTGGATAAAGCTAGTAATGGGCATGGCTACTATGTTTTCCTGGTCCTAATAATTTATTAGGATGGGATCAAGTTAAAAGTGTTCTAAAGGGTAAAGGAAAGCAGTCACTTTTTGTAGGCTATGTGGGAACTTGGTAGGGGAAACGACTTCTTGACATTGTTTTTAACACAAAGCTGAGGGTCATGTGATACCCATAATGAACATGCTTATGATTGTTTCCTGCTTTTTGTTGGTTTTGCAGATAAATGACTACCCAACTCTATTGTTTTACCCATCTGGTAACAAGTCAAATCCGGTAATTATGTAACACACTTTATAATTTCATTTCTTTGTAACCCTTGCCTAGAATTGTCTAAAATGCATTAATTCGGCAGATCAAACTTTCCACCAAGTCAAGCTTGAAGGACTTGGCTGCATTCATCAACAAAAATGTAAAAGGAGTCGAGGACAAGGTAAAACCACCGGAGGAGAAAGCGACCAAAGACGAACTATAGAAGAATACAATTTGAAAGCATACCGCCCCCAAAAGATCTTGAAATCTAGCTAGATGTTTAGAAAGATAAATTAAGTTGATGGGAGCCTGGGAAAATGTTTGAGATGTTGATGTTATATGGCTAATTCACCATTTTATTGTTCCATCTTATCGGAGGCGTTGTATAAACTAGCAAGCAATATTGTGTTCAATAAGAGCAATATTTGGTATATAGAATCAGTTTATTGATATGGCTTTGCAGTTGATTTGCATTTGTTCCAATATGACGGAGACCTCTTAGAAATTTGCAGCTGCATCACAAATTTGAATGTCTTAGGGTGGGAGATAATGCGTTTCCCTTTCTGGGCCATCATATATGTACAATCTTAGTTGATTCTTGGTCAGGATCTTATACCGTAACCTTCTATTCTTTAGTCGTTTAGTGTGATTCATCAATTGGAGGCGTGGAGCCACACCGCATTGCATGACGCAGAGGTTTTACTGTGTCACCATTTATTAATCTCTGTATTTTTTGCATTTGCTTTATGACGTTTTACTGTGCCATCAATTGGGTAGGGTGGACCGTATTTTGCCCAGGGTTCTGCTACAATCTCTAAAGGCAGTCCTTCAGTAAAGTTCTTCAACACAAGGTTCAGGTTGAATCACGTCAAATGATCACTTGACGCAGAGAACATCTTTGATAGGGGTGGACATGAATTTAGATTTTTACGAGTTATTAGAGCTTAACTTGTGAAAAATTTGATTTGGCTCAATCAAAATTGAGCTTTATGCTGAGCTTGAGCCCAATATAAAGACTCATTTGCTAATTGAGCTGAATTTGAGCTCAATGAAACTCAGCTCACAAGTCTCGCGAGCTTAATTTGACTTTTTTTTTTATCAAAACTTAATCTAACTTTTATTATATTATATTATTTATATAAAAAATAATTTTTTATATGTATAATACTTTATCAATATATATTTATTTATTTTTATAGGGAGCTTGACTTTCAAACTAAGCCAAGCTCGAAGATATGAGCTTTTGAGTCGAGCTCGAGCGTTATGCTTTTTTTGGCGAGCTTGAATATCAAAATATTGGGCTCAGCTCCAATCCATTGTATACTACATGAGTGGGCATATAAGCAAGGTGGATTCACTCTATAGTATGAAGTACATCAGTAAAATATGGGTGACAATGACAGACAAAAGGTTGATGAAATAGGCATATCCCTGCTAAATAATGAAAAACATGAATATACAAGGACCATCCGCATCATGACAAAAGAGAGGTCTTGGAAGAAGCCTGCTTCAGAAAATAAATGGCTTCTTTCGTCCCAATGAAAGGCAGAACTCTGCAAGAAAAAATTGAGCAACTAGCATCCAACCTGAAGAACACAGCAACAGTGACCCAACAAAAGTCCTCATTCTGGTGCAGGACTGCTTTGCTCATCAGCACAGCCCTGCTGAAGAACTGTGTTACCAATCCTTGTCAATGGCCAATACCTAAATACTGATCTTCCTATGATGTTCTTGGTAGGAAGAGGTCCCCTGTATACAGGAATGAATGAGTGATTCAACTCAATTAAAAGAAAATGCATATGGGAAGATTTTGAGAATGAAAGCTGGAAAATGTGGAATTAAAGAAACCCAAACTTAATTTGCTACCATATATGTGAATCATAGCTATTGTTGCGGTTGTCACCCATCACAAATACAAAGTTTGCAGGTATTTGCTGCAGCATGACAAAGTGCAGGTCAGTTATGCTTTTCACTGAAATTTACAGTTTGTTCATGTATTCTATTTTGCAGATAAGACACGTGAAACAAGTACAGTTCGATTGAACAGTAGATATTCTTTGAAATTGTAAGTATTATATAGTGAAAGCGGGGCAGAGGCACAGAAATATGTAGGACTGAGTCATACAATTGGAGTCATATCATAAGAAGGTGGCTCAAGGATGAAATCTTCATTCCTGACAACTCCATTTACTAGCAACTTCCCATTGTGAACCTGCATTAGCAAAAATTACCAGTGATCAGATTCTAACTTCTTTGCAAATCTAAAAATGTCTTTGGAAAATGGAAAATCCTTGTCATATAAGGTCACATCGAAGTATGGAATCACAAGCCATACTAAACAATCATATACAAAGTGAATTCCTGGAAATACATCATTTGTGTATTTTGTCTTGCATTTCCCAAGTGACTTCATAAATATAACATGCTTTTTTTTCAGTGGTTAGAAAGATGAACGTAACTTAAAGGTAGTTGAACAAATGGCTAAAAAAACGCTGTGGGGCTTAAAACACCTTCGATTATGTTAACCATTTCTATTAGAGAATGTAATTTACTGAAACAAATTGGTGAGACACAAAAATAATGGCAAGCTAGAAAATTCTGGTTCAATAGAAAATGCAATTTCTAGATTCTCCATATCCAATACCTTGTCCAGCCATGCCCTTGCTGAATCCAGGTATCTACGCACTTCAGCACTTATAGCCATTGACCATGAAACCAATTGCCTTATTGCAAGACTCGGATTGACTGGATGGTTGAGCTGTTTGGACTGGGAACTGAAACCAAACATGGTTCTTGAAATGCTAGGTTATTAGAGATGTTGACTTAGTCTGAGTTCCCTCAAATAACTTTGTTGGTAGGTACTATAACTCATAATATTTGTTGTTTTAAGCATGTTGTAAAGTAGGCTTAAAAGGCGATCTGGTAGTACTGCTGTTTTTTCTTTTTTTCTTTTTTTACTTCCACATTTTTATTTTAGCAAGTCATGTGGCCGAACTGCAAGGTTGAATTGTTTGACCTGTGACCCAATAACTAAAACAAGTCAACATCCCAAGTCTGATAACACCGTGCAAAGCTATCATAAGTTTGAAAAAGATGCAGATTAATACATGACACTTCAGTTCTGGGGAGAAATCCTGCCATGCTCGTAAGCCTTTTACTCATAGCAAATGGAATTCCCTTAAGGCAGTCAACAATGTTTATCCTGGTCATAACATAAATAAATGTAAAAAAGGAAAAAATCATAAAGATTACTGACCGAGCAACCATCTGAAGCACTGCCTTTATTGATTTTGATAAACTTACCTCCACAACATCACCTTCCTTGGCAACAACTCGTTTAATAAAGACATCCTCTTCTGTATATCCTATTTCCTGTGGGGTAAAAACCAATTATTAAAATAATATATATCGGATTTGGATTGTAGAAATTTCAATCACTTACTGTTCTTACCTGCAATACTGGCGGGCTTTTGAAAATTACTATATCATTTGGACATGGCTTTCTAAAATAATATGAAACCTAAAAGTATCCACATAAAAACATCCGTTATGGATGAAACCTTCAAACTTTTAATTGAAAACCACATAAGATGATAGAGTTACTATCAATTTAACTTGGTTTATACCAGCCAAGAGGCTCCTCTATGGTTATCTATAGTTCTAGTGTTAAAGCAGGCAGAATCCATGTCATTTGTTAGATGCATTGTAGTTTTGTGTTTCTGGCCTTTTTTTGTATTGTGTTCCACTTGCCTATTGAATTCTTCTCATAACCAATGGAATAAGGTTCAGCTTCCTTAGACCAGCCTTTCTTATTAGTACCAGAGAATTGATCGTTGGTACATAAACACAAACCATTTCAATAAACTCTCCCTCATTTAAACCTGACAGGGTTTACCCCTAAACTCACTCCCACAGGTTCCTTCAGATCCAAAAGTGAATCTGCCCTTTGGAGTCATTTCATTGCATGGACTCTCTTAAATGGATGAAGTGTCCATGTTAGACACACATCAATCCATAGATTCTTGAAGGACACTTCATGTGATATTTTTCTTTTTCTCCTTGCTTATTTAACATAGATGAATATCCATTATACACAATGAATGCAATTTTTCATATGAAAAGTGATTATGTAACAAAGATGATCTTAGAGACCTTTTAACAACATGTTATATTTTTAAGAGTTTATACTTTTCTATGGGCGAGTCCTTGTTTAGAGGTTCTGATTCCCGTAAGCTATTTTTCTGACTGCATTCTGATCTATAAAGCATGGTTGAGCCCTTGAGGCGTAGCTCTTACGAGGACTTTTCCTTGTATACTTTATTGGTCTGCAGAGATACTTTTATTTTTCTTCCTAAGTTGATGATATTGTCATATAATTGAAGAGAAGAAACCAAAACGGCAAAACCTCATCCGCACTACTCTTCCTAAATGTTTTAAACAACCCCATTTTACTTCTTGAACAGTGGTTTCGTTTTCTGAGGCTATATCAAGGTTCCATTTCCATGTCTATCATGGTCCGGGGAAAAAAATGAAAAGAAAACTCCAAGCTTGTCAACAGGGGAAATAGCCAAAGAATGACCAGAAAAAATAGCTACCTTTTCAGCAACGATTCGATCTCCGACGTCGAATGTCGGATACATGGACAAGGAAGGAATGTATCGAGGCTCGGCAATGAAAGTCCGGAAAGCAAGGGAGACAGCTAATGCTGTAACAATAGTCTTTACATCGTCGGAGGTCAAATTCAACCATTCTGGCATGAGTCCCCTCTTATTCTCAGCCTCACCATCATCACCATCTTCTCCACCGCCATCCCCATTGCCGCCATTGCTATTCACCACTTTCAAAGATCGATTTTTGGTCCCCTCGGTAGACTCTCTTGCTCCATTGCATCCGATCCGCTTCAAGCGAGTTCCTGGATAGAAAAAGCGCTTAAACCCTAGGAAACTAGGATTTTTGAAGAAAGAAGTTAGTTGGGTTTGCTTAAAATATCGATTTCTTGTTAAAGGATCGAAGCTGGCGACGATGCAATCAGGATTTCTAGAGGTAGAGAGGGATGGAGTGGAATTGAGACGAGGGTTTTTCAGAGAGGAAGTGGAAGTAGAAGGGAAGAAGTTCAGTGATGTCATCTCTTTTCTCCACCTTCCCTCCAAATCCGATACCGGATAAAGCCGTTGGATGAAATTTATAATGCGCGGGCAGCCCATGGATCATTTAATGCCCTTTAAAACAATGCACTTAGGCCCGGCTCACTTCCCACACAAGAGGATCCGGCTATAATAGAGTGAACGGGATCTGCTCATCACATGGGCGCCTCACATGCACATCCACCGTAATACGGGAGATGTTCGCAATGCATGGTAGAATGTGCGTATGAGATCGGTGTGAGGCGCCCTGTGTGAGGAGCAGATTCTGTCTCATAATAGAGAGGAAAGGCATGATATCACACCACGATGGTAGGTAATTCTCTCCACTTTAATCATTAGTCCTAATAAAAATACTTGAAAATATTTGGTCCTCATGTGTATGTAAGGGTGCCAATGGACCGGTTTTGCATTGGATCCCGTCCAGTCAAAATCAATTTGGATGGATTGGACAGACCAACAACATATTGGATTGGACCAATTTGGTCCAAAATATTAATTAGATTGGATTGGACTTGATGCATCCATAATAAATTTATATTGGACTAGGTTTGATTAAGAATATCTGGTCCATTGATATAAGATAAGAATATATGTGTTAAATGGACTGGATTTGGATTGAAACCAATTTAAATCAAAACGAATTTGAACAATTTGGACGGTCTAGACATTGAATTGGACCAGTCCAAAATATTTATTGGATTGGATTGGACCTGATCCATTTATAATGGACTCGCATTGGACTGGATCAAATTAGACGAAATCTAGTCCAATTGACACCCCTATATGGAATACTGGTGTATTTGCTATTGATTAGGTAGCCTTATAGACAAATATACATGTTTATGTTTATAGGAGATTTAAAGTCCTTAAAGAAAGGTTATCACGGGTGGAGCCAAGATATTTTCATGAGGGGGGCCAAAACCTAAAGTAGATTAGGAATGGCCCATAGGGGGGCCCACCATTGACTGGGTTGAGGAGTGGGGGAGAGGGGAAATTTACATGGAAAATTGTATCACAAGTAGGAGATTTTTGGACCATAGGGGGACCATGACTCCCCTGGGTCCCCCTTGGATCCGCCCCTCTTGGTTACCACTTTTATGATACCAATTGATTGGTTATAAGGTTTTTAGATGGCATGCCTATGAATGATTGATTATGGTTGAGATAGGGTGTTAAAGATCAATTCAGATCTCTTGCCCACAAGAATTCTGCTCACACCTACCCACATGACATTACAGCTGCACATTGGGAATATCTCCCATGAATGGTAACATGCAAACATGGGAGATGTTCCCAATTTATAACTATAATGAGGTGTGGGTAGGAGATCCAATAAAGAGTGAGGAGACTAGAAAAGAACGAATTAGAAACAAATGCATCCCAAAGGACTAATGATTGCATTAGTAAGGAGTGACTTGGTAGAAGTAGAAGGCTTAAAAATGGAAAAAACTATGCTACCAGAAATACATGATACTTTGAAGAGCTTTGGCCAATAAAATCCACCCCACCTAGGGGTGTCAACGGTATTCGAAAATCTGACTTCAAAATCGAGATTTGACATAATTCAATTGAATTTGGATAATTCAAATATCTAACCGGTTGAATTCAGATATCTTATTAATATCAAATAGCTAATCGAATTTGAATTCAGATATGAATTGATTCAATTTAATAAATATCCAAATTCAACTGATTATTTAATTCTTACATATAGTATATAAAATATTTCAATATTTTATATAATTATATATATAATAATTAAATTATATAAATAATTTATATATTTATTAATAACCCAAAATAATTAATTAGTTAAATTCAAATTCGAATATTAATTTTCAACATCCGCCAGATATCAAATTAAATTCGAATATCGGATTTTCTAATAAGATTTGAATTCAGATATTACCTCATTTAATTCAGATTTGATCCACGTACACCCTAACCCCATTCTCATGAATTGGTTACTGCTTTTATGATATTGATTAAATTTTTGTATGATATCACGTCTTCCCAATATCATAGTAAAACCCTAAAATCAACAAATAAAAATTTAAAGAGAATAATACAAAAAAAAAGAGAGCATAATGATATGACAGTGTTGCTATAGCCCACTCCAAAAAATTCGCTGTATGCTTGAAATAGAATGCTGTCTTTAGCTGAGCCCAGCTGGCCATTAACAACTTTGGTGTTACATTATTTTCTAGGAAATGCCTTTCAATAATTATTTGTTTGGTTTGAAGGAAAATGTGAGGAAAAGAAAAGAAAGGTAGGAAAACTCTTACAGTGTTTGTAAAGATTTTCTTGTATTTCCTTTCCTTTCCCTACTTTTTCCTTTAAACCAAACACCACCTAAGGGGCTACATGAAATGGATGGGCTTTGAGTGGCATAAATTGCGATATGTCACACAAGGTTCAAAATATGCTAATTATTAGATGCATATCATATCATATGTATTTATTTTTGAATCCCACCCAAACACTAAGGAGATTTAGGACATGTGGCCAATTTTAAAGGTTAATACCATTCGAAGAGAGATGTGTTGACTCAAATCTTGAAACGTGAAAATATTTGTAGGGTCTGTTTGGTTTGTAATTGGAATTGGAATTGGAATTGAAACCGGCATTGGAATGGTCTATTCTTATATTTTGTTTGGTTTAGACAAAAATCGGAATGGAAATTAGAATTAATTGGAATGAGATTTTATTCCTAAGGGAGAGGGAGGGAATGGCCATTTTCTCAAATGAGTGGATGCCATTCCACTAGGAAGAATATAAATTTATTCATATTAAATATATATTATATATAATATTATTTATATTTTAAAATTTTCCTTTTATGTTAAGTAAACTTATTTTTCAAAAAATATTTTTAAGTAAAAAAATTTGAGGATTTGGGTCCCTATGGGAAACTTGTCTTCATCAGGGGTCGAGGATAAGGACAATTTTTATTCTTGATGAGAATCGAGGTCAAGAATGGAGAATATAATCCCCACCCCAAACCCTTCCCGTTGCCATTCAAAATCACCTTAATTATCCGGATCTATACGTTATTCTTTGGCACAAGAATGAGAAATCTGTTAAAATATTGATACTCTTTGAATAAAATGACTATGTTCCATGAGAGTTGGGCCTTTTTTTTTTCAATGGGTCACTTGGACTTGGGGTGTCGGGCTTCTGGGCCAGTAGATGGGCTTTCATTTAATGCGTCCGATGAGCCATTGATGGAATGATTGAGATTCATCAGGATATTCATCACCTAATGGGGTTTCCCAGTTCCCACCCGAGAGAAGGAATTCGTTTCATTTCACACATATTAAATACTTTGGCGCTAACTACCCAAAACCAGCAACGTGAACAAGATATCATGTCAGCCATCACCTAAATTGACATTCTTCACCTGAAACCATTTGTGAGCTCGACTGCAACACTTTCCTACTCATACAAAATAATAATAAAGAAACACATTTAATTCCAACCATCCAATGTTCAACCGTGTGTGTGGCCGTGGTGGGATCCATTCATCTAAATGTAACATTTGAGTCCTAATATTGGAAAATGTTCAGATAATCGGATCGGGCATAGAACTAAAAAAGGAAAAGGTTTATGGGTCAAACGTTCAATCGGGGTTGAATCATGATGATGTAACATATATAATGTAATATATATAATAATAATTATTAATTAAATAATCTATAAAAATAAGAGGTTTTGAGTTTAAATCTTATTAACATTTTAAAATTTCACTTATGTATGAATCCGAGCGATTTCATGAAACTGATACTAATTTACTGATTTTCCGATTCAACCAGTCGATTAATCGATTTTCAGCAGGTTTTAAGCAAGTTCAATTATTAAGATAGACCAAACCCCGGGTCACGATTCAACCACCCGGTCCGGTCTGATTTTCTAAACAACACAAAAAAGTCAACTGAATAACAATCGTCGGTTTCAAAAGTCTTAATGCCTTATAGACAGTTGAGTGATTTTAGGCTACGTTCATTCTGTTGGTCCAAAAAGTTTTAGTTCACTTGCTTACTGCCATTTTGCAAAACAAAGCTTTTCATTATTATCATCATCATGAAAGCATTATCCAATTAAATGGGTCGGTTACATGGAATCCTATTTCATCATTCCATTATATTCGATGTCCATATCCATTATTATATCATGGACCACTTCAGTCTTTTTTTGGTCTGACTAAGAAAAAAAGGGTGGCATTCTCATGGTAGAAGGTGATGCGTCTTTGACACATTTATTTTTCTTTACCATTCAAGTTTGTTTTCCAACCGTAAGCATGCATGAACAAGGTGATAGGTGGTCGGTCTCTGAATAACTCAGATTTCTACAGTTCACATCTCTCAATTCATGATAGAGATGTGTGGGTGCAATTCACGGCGGGTAGAAAATGAGTAGGAAAAGTGAGTAGGAAATCCCATTTAGTCTCTGAAAGTTGAAGAGAACGAGAGAGAGAGAGAGAGAGAGAGAGAGAGAGAGAGAGAGAGAGAGAGAGGATTTGGGGCCCTGTTCGGATAATGGTTGGGCATAGATTAATCGTCAGCCACGGGTTTGGTTTTGTAACAGGAGTTTGGAGACTGAGTTTGTTGGATTTTAATCTCATAAGAGATTAAATCCAATGGGTTTGATTGATCAATTACATGAGAAATTGCACCTGCACACTTGATTGAAAATTTGTTTTTTCTCTTACAAAACCCAGTTTTGAACTTGTCCCACATTGGATAATTATAAGTTTTGTTTTCAGTATTTCAATAGGAGCTGATTTACACTCCTTTAGTAGAGGAGAGTATGGGGATTCAATACTACACAACGTGCGTGCACGCGTGTGCGCGTGTGTGTGCGGCGCAATGAGGCGCTTTATAGGCGCACTTTGCTCGCACTCGCGTGGCTCGTGATGGGCGGCTTTGGTTTTGGTGCGTTGCTGACCGTTGATCACCGTTGAATGAGATCAACGGTCACGATTCGATCGGGTGTGATCAAGAGGCATAATTCAAAGTTAATAGTCACTAACTGTTAACTACTTTTTAAACAGTCACAATGTTTGAAATTGTGACTGTTCAAGGTGCCTTCTCTAAACCAGCACCTACCTTTTCTTCATGCATCTTCTCAAATTATTTAAGGAGCATGAATCAGACTCCAAAACACACAATTTCGAAATTCACTCACTCTCTCTCTCTCTCTCTCTCTCTCTCTCAGTTCGGTCTACTACAGTCTCACAGAAGGTTTCTTTGGAGACTCTTCAACTTTGCTGGTTGCAAATTCTCGCCCAAGGCTCTGTTGTATCCTGGGAACGAATTTGCCTGTAACCCAATAGCAAACTCAGTGAAACTGAGTGGGGGCAAATAACGTTCTAAAGACAGTGTTTTCAGACGCGCTTTAGAGCTTCTCCTCCAAAGTTACAGTGACCCCATCTTCTCCAACAGAGTTGGTTCAGTTCAGCTTCAAATTGGATTAATCGGATTTATTGCCTTTTATAAGGCTATGTTCATGCACCAACTAAAGCAAAGAACTAGAAAAATTAGGAATATGATTCATTTTCATATTCAATGGTAGAAACCATTCTTTTTCCTCTGTTTTATATAGAACCAAATTAAGTGGGTGTTTGACAATATGGTTGGTTTTGTTTTCAAAAACATAAACGAGTATCACATCAGTAAAGTTGTATTGTTTTAGATGACATGGCAGTTGTTTTTGTTTTTAAAAACAAAACCAACCATGTTGATAAACACCCCCTAAGACACCCTATTCCAAGGAAATCATTGAGTGTTCGACAATATGGTTAGTTTTGTTTTAAAAAATATAAACAACTATTACATCAGTAAAACTATTGTTTTAGATGACATTGCAGTTGTTTTTGTTTTTAAAAACAAAACCAACCATGCTGCCAAACACCCCCTAAGACACTATTCCAAGGAAATGTTTTCCTTTGTTTTACGTGCACGGGCAATGTAGCTTTCTGTTATGCCTTTCATAGTTTCTATGTCTCAAAGAACCATTCAACCTAAAAGCTTAAGCTGCTAAGTGAGGTCTTTGAATAGGTTTTATTCTATAACATGCCCCCTCACACGAAAGCCCATTGGGCTTTAAGTGTTGAAGCATGGACAGCACAAGCCCACTCATACCTTGTGCTAAAACTTAATTAATTATAATGGGAGTGATGAGAATTGAACACTAAACCACTTGGTTGAAGTGGCTCTCGTACCATCTCAAAGAACTATGTATTCAACTTAAAAGCTTAAACTGTTAAGTGAGATCCTTGAATATGTTTTATTCTATAACACTATGGTGATGATACTTCCTTAATATACAAATGCATGGCTCTTTATGATGGTTTGCTTCTCTTTTATTTTAGTATTGGCATCAATGAGGTGGAGGTAGAGAGTGATAATAAATGTTTAGTTGACATTCTCATTAGTAAGACATCTGCTCCATGGAGTGATATAATATTTACATTTTAAGGGATGTCAAAGAGCTGTGCAATATTCCATGAGAATCAAATTCTATCACACTCTTTGTGAAAGAAATCATTGTGTGGATCTACTAACTAGGATATCAATAAAAAGAGATACCGGGTTCTCAATTCTCTTCAAGGTCTTCCTGTGAGCTTAAGAATTTCTTAGGGTCCGTTTAGTTTGTAGTCAAAACTGGAATCAAATTGGAATTGGAACTAAAGTCAGTTGGAATGTGATTTCATTCCCAAGGAGGGAGAGAGAATGGCCATTCTCTTAAATGGGGGAATGCTATTCTACCAGTAATGGGAATGAGATTCTGATATTGTCCAATTAAACAGTTGGAATTGCAATGGTTCCAAACCCCTATTCCAATGAACCAAATGGGCCCTTGAAAAAGGATTCTATGAGTCTCACAGTTTTGCGTATTGATTGATGGGTTCTATGTTTTACTTTGTTTGAGATTGTTTATAGTTTTATTTTTAATGCTGCTAGTCAAGGTTGAGTGGGATAGGAAGTGCAAATGTTGTGGGGGCTTTGGGGCAAGGCAGGTTACATCTTCTCTTGTAGTTATCTTTACTTTTGATATTGGTTGATTAATAAAATTTTAAGGTGGCTGCCCCTCCACTTAGAGTAAAGTTTGGGGTTAAAAAAGAACATAGCAACCAAACATAACCTATAACTATAAAAGCATTATGAAACTCAAATGCAAGGGTAGTTGGGCATCCATTTTGCCTATATATCCTTTTTGGCTTTTGCACTAAGCTAGTCAGATTTTCTGTTTGAGATATCGTAATCCCATTTTTCTGTTGCCGTCAATAGTCAATGTATGGGCAATATTGTAAAGGTAGGGAGGGTTGATGCAAGGAATCATTATCCATTAGGTGCTTAATTAATTTTGGGCACATATATATATATAACTAGGGATTCAAATGGATCGGTATATTTGAATTTGATCCGATTCAAAGATTTGATCGGATCTATGGGACTCAATTTGAATTCGAATTCTATCGAATTTTCAGATCTGATTTGATCCCATTTGTTTTCTTTAAAAACTAATAAATTATTAAAAGAAATTAAAATATACCAATTTAAATAAAGAAAAACAAAAATACTTATTTTCATCAAATACATACATGTTTTTATAAAAAATAAATAATATAATAAATTTATAAAAATATAATATAAATAATATATTTATAAATAAATAAATAATATATGTATTATATATATTTATATTTATAAATATATAACACATCAGATCGGATTTCTCGGATTGGATAGGGATGACCCAAATCCGATCCAAAGATCTGACCAGGGGTACTAAATAGGATCCGGATCGGATCGGATCCATTTGCACCCTAGGCCAATCTATGCCTGGTCCATGTGACATGGTCATGGCCAAACAGAACTTGATCTTCTTGGCTTATAGATAAACACAGGTTTCACAAAGCCTAATTAATTCCAGCCTTCCAGGCCAGCTTCAAGAGAATGGTAATGGGTCTTCCACTGATGCAAAGAATTCCAACTATTTATGGTGAAGTCTGTAGAGCTTTGGAGGATGATCTATAGTACGATCAAGAGTCGTGCTACTTTCCTATCAGACTATCAATTGAGGCTATGTAGGTTTCCCTACCTTTACCTACTTTTTCCTTCAAACCAAACACAGCCTAATCGAATTATCACGGTTATTGTGGAAAGCATTAATTCCATAGAAGACAGTTTTAACTGGCAGGGGTTTTTAATGGATATTCTAATAACTTATCGACTTTGGAAGGAAGTCGCATTGCATATATATATATATATGGGGCCAAAAATGTATTCTAGCAATCACAAACATTGGCCATTACATCCAGTCTCAACAGAAGGAAATTAAAGGAGCTGATCGATCCGTAATTGTTAGTGAACATTAATTAAAGGGTAGGCTGCAGAGATAATTATATATGGAGGAGATAGATCTGAAGTGTGGTTGTTAGATATTAGAGTGGGTAGTCTTCAGTATTTTAGCTAAATTAAGAAATTAATACAAAAAGAAGAGAGGTTAATACTAAGGATTATAGTTGCAGAGGTTCTCCAAACCCATGTACTCATGTCGCTCAATCTTGTGAATCATACGTGATATGCCAATCCCACCTGTTAAATAGAACAAAAGAGCCATTAGGACTAAAGAAGCCGTAGTTTTGATCAGACTGAGAGTACTGAAAGATAAATTATTCTGTCACTTGTTTTTTTTTCAGCAGATTGATGCTCACCTAGTGAGATTGCACTAACAAAGATTGTAAGGGATAGAATGAAGATGATGAGAGACGCCCTCCCCAATAAAATGATCAGCCTTCTCACTACACGCTGCCCTACAAAGGCAGCCACAGTTGCCACGGCGGTGAAGTAGAGAGCTGCCAAATGAATAGCAAGTAATTAATATATAGGGATATATGTACTTGATTCAGTCGCTCTAAGCAAACTATACGAATAGAATCATGGAGTTTGGGTTCATTTGATGATTACCGTATGGAATTGGAAAACGCTTCAGAAGGTAATATTCCACCACGGACATGGATGAAGAGAACATCATGGCAAAGGTGGCCGTAGCACTTGAAACCTACACAGACCCAGGTTTTCTGAACTGATCAGACTCTGGATTATTATTTATTCAAGCCATATGAAGATAATACAAGAAGCTTTCACGTAAAGTGGTATCGCATTAATTGTTGTAGTTTTTTTATCAGAGAGCAGATTCAGAAGCTACTACAAGGAAAAAGAGGTAGAGGGCACACCTCGGGAGGGACGCCCATTTCCAAGAAAAGAGGACCCAAAATGAAACCTCCGCCAAGACCAAGCAGGCCACCGACTACTCCAGCCAGTATTCCGCAGCAGCAGTAGAGGATCAGTTGATGCACTCGCCAGTTTGTGCCCTTGTCTCCCTTGGATCCAATCACTTTCCATCCTTTATACAGGCTAACTCCCTCGTACAAACTCACACCGACGGCTACAGGGATCTGCAAAATATGGGAAAGAGTTTTCTTTTTCGGTTCTTGAACAGGATTTTTCCTGGGTGGTGGCTACAACAATGAAACTATGGGGCCACCACTCCGCTGAGCTTATTTAGTTCAGCTGAAAATGTAAAACCAAGGAGAAGTAACATCTCCGACCAAAGCTACAGAATGTACCTGTAATAAGTTCAAAACCCAATATATCGTCGAACAGGTTGTTGTGTGATTCTGTCTCCAAACATGTTCAGTTTTTCCGTCGGTTAGTTCATACGTTGAATGAAGCATTGGGATAACGATAGAAATAATGAGCAAGCTACACGGCTACACCTACCCCACCTACATACCTAGCTAGAGAGAGAGAGGGAGAGAGAGGCGAACCTTGACAATTTGCAGAATAAGAAAAGCAACCCAGACGAAAACGAGAAGGCCTAGTTCTTTCCAGTAGACATTCTTGAGAATGGGAACCTGGTTTTGATATAGAAGTTTAGTCTTGGAAATCCTAGGAGGCATAAATACAGCTTTAAATAGCATACTCACTTCTCTCTCTCTAGATTCTTTGGTCTCCTTTTGAGGGCCATTGCTTGTACTACTGGGTGGAATCTTATGTTCCACTTGTTCATTGCTGGTACCTGATACATATGGAGATATATATGAATCAATTCCAGGAAGAAGGAAACAAATTTGTTGCGTATCTGACAGTTAACAGAAGGAATGAGCTAACTCACCATTTGACTCCAGACGCTTGGCAGCTTCCTGAAATGATAAACAGGTTGGTTTCATCAGGAGCGAGAACAAATTCAGATCAAGTTGACTTTAGCTGATATATAATATCTATAAACAGACGGTGGATTTATGGTCTACCTTTTTCTTTATGGTTTCCTTTTTCCAGGTTTCGATGCCCTTGAAAAATGACTTAGTTGACAAGCCTGAAAATCGCAGTAATCAATCACAGAAGGCACCATTGCGACCACTATGGTCAATCAAGGATTCTTTGAGTTTGAATCAAACATGTAGCAAGGGAGAATACCATTCAATTCAAACAGCCATTATACCTAAGAAGAGGACGATTAGCAGTACTGTGAGCATCCAGTTAGCAAATATCACATTAAAAGCGACCCCAATACTGATTCCTAGCATAAGCATAGGCTGGAAGAGCATTGCCAAGTCGTAGTCGATAATGGGCATATCAAGAGTTGGATGCCTTAGCCTGAGATTGCAGTACACCGTTGATGCTGATGCACCCATGATCATACCTGGGGAAAAATGAACAGGACTATTATAATCTCAACTGTTGCTGTATGGTGGGATCAACAGAGCATAAATCGGTGAAATTCCCTTTTATCCTTCAAGCAAAAAAATGGTGGGTACGTTGTTCATGTCAAAAACATGGTAAATTCTGAAAGGTTTAACTGGGTTTTACTTCCAAGGACATTAAGTGACGTGACAGAAATTTGTGGGTACCTAGCAAAATTCTAAGAAATAATACAGTCAATTAATGGTTTCACATTTCCAAGCTCATCAAATTCATCAATAGTGTTCCAAAGTTCTATTTCAGAAACCCAATGAGATACCAGAAAAAGAAGGGTACAAAGATAAATTTAATTCGATCGGGTTAGATCTGGGTTAAGTCAAGGTAGTAGTTAATTTGTCAGGGCCTTTAAAATCCAGTGCAGGAGAAGAAAAATGAAACGGTTAATAAAAAATGAGTTAACTTCTCTACCTTGATTTAAAAAAATATTCAGTTTTGACACTTCAAACTTTGTATGCATCAGTTTTCTTCCAGTTTCATACAAATTTCAACTCGTCGGAGAGGAGCTTGACAGCTGCGCAATAGGTTTCAGCTTGGGAAAACCGAGGTATTTTGTCTAGGTTTCAATCTCTCTGCGAGTGACTAGAAGATGTTTTCAATGTACCTTTCCTTCTGAGAGAATGAACTGACCAAGGGGGGGATTCTCAGGCAGAAATGTTATGGGATCTTGAAGAACTAGGCCTAACTAGTAGAAAAAGGGAAGTGATATCTCAAGCATGAGATGGGTTTTCAACTTTTAATTCCTTCACCTCCGGCCGGCGGAGTCTATATATGGCGTTGTTTAGTTTTGTATGCATCATTAATTATTGTTCTAGCTAGTTTCAGAGTAGTAGACAAACTGCCATGTCTTACATTTCGATATTGCTGTGGATGATTTTGCATCAAACCCAATAATCAGGGTGAGCATGGGAACGAAAATTCCACCACCACCAACGCCTCCCACACTCCCAAACGCTGCTCCACAGAATCCAATTATGGTGCCAAGAACGATTTCCCACCCGAATTTCATAGGCTGTAAAGAGAAATAATTAATTAATACTTGTTAGTTAAAAGCACATACTTGATAGATTGATTCATCAATTGAGACCGGAGTTCGTCGACAAAGGAAACATTGAAATTAAATCTCATGAAATTGTACTTACAGGCCACACATGATGATAACCTGATTTACCCGCTTGCCAAATGAAAGTTTTAATTTGTACAAGATAATTTGAATGAACCTCTGCGGTTCCTTTGTTTCTTGAAGCGTCGTCTTTCAGAGTCCGCTCTGCAGAAGCAAACACAGAAACCAGAAGCAAGCTGAGCACAACCGTTGCTACCCATTGCAGAGTTTTCCATTTTGCTTCAGTTCCAGACATCGCAGCACAAGGGGAAGCAAAAGCTCGACTCCTAAACCCACTCTTTATCACACCGAGGTGCTTCAATTTCCCAAGTCTCTTATGTCGTCCAGATCAACAAGGGGAAGCAAAAGCTCAACTCCGCAGCACAATTCAGAAATTCACTGCAGAAAAGCTCATTTCGACATCAAAATCAGCTACTGCAGCAGCTGTTTGGCAGCAAACCCACGTGGTGGGGTGCCGAAAGGATTTAAAATTCGGTTTCGTGCAGAACGAAATTTCGGCCTGACTACAGAATGAGTCTTCAGGAAAACAATTCAACTCTTCAGATGATGCTTGTATGATTCTGTTGCCAATACTTTCATCTACTTATATATCACCCAAAATTTTTCGTATTCCCCCTCCCCAGTTTGGACCGAAATATTCTGCTGATTTCGTTCCGGAATTTCGGAAATTCTGACCTTGCTCAAACTGAATCCAGGGAGTGCTGTCCACTGTCCTCCACAGCCGAGTTCGTTTTATAGGCCGGATTCTATGGAATCCCACCGGCAAGTAGGAGCTGGTGAGGTACCACAGGCCGGAATAGGTGACTCAACGGCGACTGTAAAATCTAGAAGAAACAGCAGAGAAGAACTACGGGAAAGGGATCGAAATCTTTTGGCAACTAGGCCGAAGGGATTAACAATGTTAAACCCAATTTTCAATTGCTGCAGTTTCCGTCATGAGCTCTACGGGCGGGGAGATCCCGTTTATATAGCAACACTTACATTATTTTTTCACTGGTTCTCGTTTTTCTTCGAATGATAATCTAGCGGGAGCGATCACGCTGGTTCAACCGTGTGAGCTCTACCGTGCCGCTTTCTGATTGGACAGAATAAAGAATAACAAATTTCAGAATGACTCAAAAGTCCAAATTTGAGTCGATCTGGCAGAGAAGAAGAACAGGAAGAGCTATTTGTAGGATTACCGCCAGTGATCCAGCAGGACCGCTCCCGCTAGATCTTCAGTGGTCTTCTATTAATATTTTTTTTTTGTTTTTAAGTTTCTTTTTGGAAAAAAAAAATATTAAAAATGTAGACCGACATGACCCACTGAACCAGTAGAAAAAACGCACAAAACAACAAAGTTTGACCTACTTGCTCTCTGAGTCTCACTCATAATTAGTGTCAGTGTGTCAGAGCTACGGGTTCCCTAATAAAAGGGAAAAAGAATTTTTTTACTGTGACGCTAAGCTGAACTTTACGCGTTGTACCAGCATAAACCGAGTCTGAATCGTCAACAGTTATACTCGTAACAGTAACTGAATATGGGATATGGCGATGACGGTCATGTCGGTTGCCCTCGTCCCACGGGGCTTAAATGATGTGGGGGATATGATTGGCCCTGTATTTTAATTTTGATGAGGTGAACCGCTGGGGACTTGGAGTCGCGCGGAATGATACTTAATGCATGCACGTAGGGGGACAAATTAATCCAAAGGAGAACGAGGGTTCAACCGAGGTCAGCGTGGAGCTAAGATTTCTAAGATTTCTAATTCTAAGCGTGGAGCTAAGTTTCAATCGACGGTCAGATTGAATCCACTCCTAAAATGGAACTAAGATTTCTAAGGGTGGATTGAACAGTTAAAACCTTTAGAATTTTTGTGGTTTTTATGAATTTAAAAAATAAATAAAAATTAAATATGAGTCTATTTAAACTCTCTCACAACCCACAACCACTTTGGTTTCCCTTTTATTAGGAAATAACTCTCTCTGTGTAACAACCAACTGGTGAGGGCTAGTTGTACGTTCTCTATTTAAAGTTTTTATTTTTAATTGGGTATTTATTTTTTTGGTTTTTTATTTTTCGTTATTTTTTTTAAATGGAACAAAATAATTCAAGAAGTCAATCACTTTTAAGATTTTTTCCATTATCACTTTTTATTAATGAATTATTAAGGGCCCGTTTGCTTGGTGGGAAAGGGGTTGGGAATTGGAATTGGATTGACTCATTCTGATTTCAACCATTTGGTTGGGCAGAATCTGAATCCCATTCTCATTTCTGGTGGAATGACATTCCCCAATTTGTGGTAATTGTCATTCCCTCCCCTTCCCTTGAAAATGAGATCTCATTCCGGCTTATTCCAATTTTCATCTGAACCAAACAGATTATAAAAATAGACCATTCCAATTCCAATTCTAATTCCAAAAGCAAACCAAACAGACCCTTCTCTCCTTTTCTTACTAATTCATCCATCTATCTTCCATTAATCACAACACTTATTCTTCCTCCAAAAACTCCTGCATGCCACTAATTCTCTCTCCTCTCACTGATCCATTGAATTGCATAAAATTCCTTAGTTATATCTATTTATCTATCTATCTCTTCACTTATTAACTTATCACTAATATTCTCTCCTCTTTCTCATGGCTACCCTGGTTATATCTCCTCATTAATTAAGATATTGACTCTCTGTCCTCCAATAATTCATTCAGCTAATTCTCTTTTCTCTTGATTACTCCATTAAATTGCTTAAAATTTCTTAGCATATTAAATAATTGGATTTATGACCGATAACATTAGGATAAGAGTCACAAGACAACCTCTAGTGTTGATTATGGACCATTTTAGAGAGGCCACAACAAGTTAACATTTGAATCAAAATTGTTCTCTCCATGAAAGTGCTTTCGCATGTAACAACTTTTTGCAGAATTTGTGTTAAGCAATGGGTCCTCTTGATGTCATCCTCTCTACCACTAGATCTAGTTCTCCCTCTTCTTGGCAAATTAAGACTCTCGGAAGGACCCACCAAAATAAATGTAGATCTCTATTGGATGTGATACCATTGGACCTGCTCACAAAGTAGCTCCCTCTTCTTGGAAAATTAACTCTTGGAAGGCCCCACCAAAATAAATGTAGATGTCTATTGGATGTGATAACACCATTGGACCAAATGAAATCTCCATATTTCCTGTGTAAAGATTAACTAATGTAGCTGCTCACAAAGTAGCTCATTTTTTGCTCATTAATTATTGTTCCTGGATTACTACTTGCTGTTGTAACTTCTATTAATCAGGACTTGTAATACCAAGATTTGTTAATTGAATGGAAATGTCTTAGGGTTATAAAAAGAAAAATCTATATCCATTTCAATTTAATTATAATTTTATATTTATTTAATATATTTTCATTTAATTATAAATTTTAATAAATGAAATTCCATCTAATTATAAAAATTGAATTCCATCTATTCATAATTTAAAATCTATTTAATATTAAAAGGTAGGTTGTTAGACTAAATAGACTTCTATTATTTCAAAAAAAAATAATTTTAAGTTATCTAAGTTTATTCTAGAATAAATATGATTTAATTCACTTAACAATAAAATTATTAGTATTTGAAATGTAATATTTCATTTAGTTATAATTATAACCCATTTAAATTACATTTCCAAATAAATTCTATAATTTTTAGTAAACATACAAATTATATTTAAAATCCACTTAAATAGATTTCGTTTTTACTAATTTAAATTTCATTTAAAAATAAAAATGAGATAATTAATAAAACTAAAACAAGTTTAACTAGAAATAATTGATAAAAATTAAACTACTAATAACAATAAGTAGTTCATAAATTAAAAATTAAAATCTATTCAAATACTGTTAAAAGTAATATTAATAAAAATGTTAGGACGATTTAATAAAAATGATTAAAAATTATAATTCATTTAAATTTCATATAAAATAAAAAAATAATTAATTATAGTAAAAATAAATTAAGAAATTACTTAAATACAATAAAAAATATTACTTGTTATTATTGATAAGGATTAAATTTTAAATCCACTTAAGTGCAATATAAAAATAAGTTTTGTTAAAATTTATAAAAAAAGTTGTAACAAGTAATAAAATATTTTTCTCAATAAAATTAATAAAAATAACAAAATAGATCAATAATTAATATCCATTCAAAATCCATTTAAAAAATAATATAAAATTATCTAATAATGATAAAATGAAAATTAATACAAAATAATGTAAATTTATTAGTTTGAAATTTTAAGTATGGTTTGGTTGGACTTGGACTTTGCTCAACCTACTTAAGAATGATATATGGGGTTCTTTATGCTTAAATTTCACACAATTGCAAGTAGACCCCCTCTATTAGATTCCACTACCAAGAGGCATGAAAATGTCCAAAATATCCATGTACTTACTTTTGACCAAAACATTTATTTTCCAAAACTTCTCTTCACATCAATCATTACCCCAAACCCTTTTAATCTCTTTTCTGAAATTGATTTATTTTCCAAATTTGCCCTTCATATCAATCACCCAAAGGTAAAGCTGCAACTTTACACTCTTAATTTTTGTTGTCCATAAAGTTTGTATTATTATTATTATTATTTTTTGCATAAATAACCAGCCTTAATAGTAATAGCATGGGTATTTTGAACATTTTGTGGCTCTTGGTGGGGGATTCTTACAAAGGAGAACTACTTGCAACTATGTCAAAAAATTGAGGGAAGGTGATTGCAATTACCAAACTTCAAGGGAGGTTTCAGCAATTTACCCTAAAATTAAATAAATTATTACCTAATTTTGTGTGACCGCTAAGAGGGTGTTCACTTATTGTCAATATATATATATATATATATTTTTGCTTTTCAAAACAAAACAACTGACACATCAGCAAAATATATTGGTTTTGGCTGATGTGGCAATTATTTTTATTTTGAAGACAAAACCAATCTTGTAGCCAAACACCATACAAACTTAAATATATGCCGTTTGATCTATGGGTGCTCATGGTCAGGTTAATTGAATTGTGGACTCTTCTTTGAAACCGAACCAATATCAGTAATTTTTGCAATTCCTCAAACCAAAACCAAACTAATATATACTACCAATTAATTGGTTGACCGGTTTTGGTTTTTTATCAGTTCGATTCTTCGATTTAACTGGTCGGTTCAATTAACCATATTTTTTAGTTTGGTTTTCTCGGTTTGTTTTTGATGATGCACAATCCGGCCGGTCTTAGCTGTCAACGATCTTGCCTCTGAACTGAGTGGCAGGGGACCTGAAATGGAGGGGGTGAAGAAGCTCTGGGGAGAACCCGACGTAAGGGCTCCGAAGCTCAAGTTAGAATCTTTCAAAGGCAAGATAAGCCAGATAGCGCAAAGTTAGCATACCTCGTTCTTGGGGGGTAGGGAGCCTTTTATAACCACCTCGCACACTCACTTCCAGGCTTTTGTCAGATCGGGCATGATTATCTCTGAGCTCCTGCCAGTTCGGATGTCATCC